TATACCAACAAGAACCCTAAAAACATGACTGTTGCAGAACTTAAAAGTGAACTGAGGAAACTGAATGTCAGTACAGTTGGTACAAAAGACATTTTGATCAAGAGACTGGAAATGAAAATTGCTGGAGGTTGCTAACTATAGTATTCATATACTCGTATATGAATATTATATCAATGGATAGAGCGCTGGACTGTTGTACGGGAGGTCGAGGGTTCGAGCCCCGGCCGGATCAACACTCAAGGTCTTAAAATAATTGGGAAGAATTTGCTACCTTTCTATAACATCAAGAAATGGTTAGGTATTCTAGTCTTCTCGAATAGGGACGAATAAATGAGGTCCCGTCTCCTGCAGGGTTGGGGTAGGAGACATTAATTTCCACACACAAGATTACTGTGTGATGGATGTCCTCCCCTGGGGTGGGATGGGTGAGTTTATTGGGCCTGCAGTAATCAGTGCAAGCTGTTGCGGTGTCCCTGCCGGTTGGCGAAGCTAAATAAATAAATAAATAAATAAACATAAACATTTTTTATAAGAGAATATCAATTCATTTGTTTTAGGAATGTTTCTCTGTAATTAAAGCTGTGTGTTCCAGAGCATCTTTTTTACTGATTTTCATGATCTTCTAGATTTTTTTATTTTGTAAATATCTTTTTGTGAGCAGGAAATATGTAATGTACATGCATGTAAACTTACTTATTACATGACTGAGAAAATTAGTTCATTGTGATTGACAGAGAAAAAGCAATTTATTGTCAATTTTTAATTTACATTTCAGAGCAAACTACTGCACGCACTTTTGTAACTTCCTCAGTCTTATAATAAGTAAGTAATCTTGTGAAAACTTGAGAAATTAAGGATTTAGATTACTTGTGATATCTGAAAATTATTATGAAAGGCTCATGCTATTATGAGGTCAGATACTGTCTTCTGTGATAAATATCATTTGCTGGACTATCTATGCTATTTTTGTAGAACTTTTGTTGTGAATGGGAACATTGAATGAAATGGACCAGCTTCAATTTCATGCTAGGCCACTGCTCAAGTCATGTTTATTGTGGTAAACAGTTTGAGGTATAGTTCTTGATAGACTACAAAATAAAGCAATCTAGCTTACAGTTCAGCCATTCATTAGTGCTTGAAGGCTTGAATCCAATACAAACTGTTCAGCTGTGTACCTTTGGATATAAAATGTCACTGTGACACGTTGTGCCTTCATAGCATAGTTCAGGCAAAATGGGGTTGACTCTGTCACAACAATTGTAGACCATCCACTGTACACAGACTCGGTCTTGCCACCAGCTTTGGATGGAACCTTTTTGAAGTGCCTTTGTGCAAAGAAAGTTTCTCTTGAGAAACGACATGGCGAGAATAACTTCCTAACAGAATTCATTTTAGTTAACGTCAGCACATGTTTTGAACCATTGGCCTTTGTGTCCACATCTCCCGAATATCCTTGAACCAAAACAAGGATGTGTCTAAACACTGACCAAGGGACAAACAAATTAACTGGATTCACTAGTCCAGTTGCTTTAGACCTCGATAGCTTGCATTTTACCGCCTTCCCTATTTCCTCTAGGTATGAATCGATCATAGGGCCGACCAACTCAAGCTTGTTTCCCACAACTTTCTCTAATTGCGAATCCATATTTAACATACCATAATTTGGTTTTCTCTTTGCTTTGCGGACAGCTTTTATCCCCTGTCTTTCCACGGAAAACTTCATTTCCACTTGTGAGACATTGCAGAATGATTTGCCATGTTCTGAACCGTCAGAAGCCCGTAAATCTAAGTCAAGATCACAACTTTCCCTTGGCATTTTACCGAAAGATTACATTTGTTTTTACTGATTTCAGTAGGGCGACCGCAGCGCTATGTGAGCCCGCCTACCTTTTTAGATGAACACCACTGACATTTATGAGCCCGCACGAGTGGAAAAATTTTGCCGCTATTATGCCAACGTGAAAAAAATGCCCTCTGTCTTGACCAATCACAATTCAGTAATTTTGCCCCTTATGTGATAAACGACTGAATAGTGATACATATAGACGACACAGCCAGATTGCAGAAGTTATTTCTGTAATCGTTTTGATATAGAGATATGGATAGCTCAGTGGTAATAGTTCTTTTTTAGTCACTATGCACAATTTTCCCATTGTCTCCTATCCTTACAGAAATGCAGTTTTAATGTGTTACAAAATTTTGTTTTCTGGGTATTCTTCAATTGGAAGATTGCTATGCAGTTTCAGGGTTTCGGCAAAGAAAGATTGGTGCAGCAGCCCTAATTAGGAGGGCCTGCATGAAGGCATCATCCAATATCTGAAATTTTATCTTGGATGACAGTAATTGTTTTAAGTGGATTTGGAAGACAATTTTAACTTAGACGCTCTTCTCCAAATCAACAGATCAAAAATTAAATATCAAGGTTGATGTGGAACAGTTGAAACTTGCAGATCATGATGCTTGCAGTACAGCTTCAGTTTCAGCAGTGGAGCCAGCAGGATGTCAGAAAGCATCCACAACATCAGGCATATGCAGAAAAAGGAGATTTGATGCAGAGAAAGAAGATTTCCAATCACTTGAAAAGAAAGTTTTGTGCTTAATTGCTATGAATTACCTCAATACTACACCACCGCAAAGCAGGGATGAACACAATGAGTTTCGGGAATACTTGCAAGAAATGAAGGTCCTTATTTCAAGCGTTTCTATGGGAAGTTTGTTGATAACAGTAAAGTGTGATTCTCTTGAGAGCTTGGAGGAGTTATGGGAAGATTACTTATGCGGCCTTTTGGATAAGATGGTTCGAGATTGTTTTGTGACTGAAAAGATCTTGAAGGAACTAAACCTGGCAGAGCTGAAGCTGAAAACAACAATGGACGTAGAAGAGTACAATGCATGCAAACTGTACTTTAAGAAGGATGCACTTAGAGGTCAGTGAAAAGCAAGGAACAAGGCTAGGTCCTTTAACAATTTTTTTTAAAAGATGGGAAACACAATCCATCACTCTTTTAACATGGTGTACCACAGGGTTAACACACATGAAGAGAGGGGTGCAGTTTTTGATCAAGGTAGAACTTATTGTGTTATGAGTAAGCTTGTACTGACTATACGAGTTATGACAAAATTAATGCTAAGAGTGATTTGTTTTCAAGACATTCCTTTGATGTTTTTGTTCTTCTTAAACATTCTGAACCTCATTAACCTGCTACCACTTCCTACATTTTCCTTTCTATCAGGTGGCATTTGTCTTTGCTCTATTTAGTGATGAATTAAAATGAGTTGCAAAATATTAATTGGTAAGATCTTTGTTGGTGAAAGCTATGAAAGTCAATAAATACATATTGTGTCACAAATCTTTGAGGAATTATGTTTGTGCAATAATGCGGCATCTCAGAAATATTGCAAACAGTGCAACTTATGGGGAACAACACAAATAAAGAGAGGCTTCGAATGCTAATCTTTTTCTTTACTTTTTCCCCTTAGGTACTTCGCCCCTCACTGTAATACCCACCACTGGTCATGGAAAGCAACTCAAAGAACCCACAGGAAGGATAGGTAAATGGGAAGGTTTGTTTGAATTGATTTCTGAAATGATTATGTTGGTATGTTCAGCTATTATGCCAAGTGCACTGTTGGTATTAGATATTAAACAAAGTATTAGATATTAAACAAATAGATATTAAATTGGTATTAGATATTAAACAAAGTTGGTATTAAACAAAGTTAAGCCGTTGTTTGACAGAGCAGCATTCTAAGCCATCTTTAGTTAATAAACCTTTTATCTGAACATGAGATTTATTTTTTAGAACAGCGCTTTAGGTTGGTAGGATCTGCAGGGTAAAACTAAACTGCCAGTGCTTTGAAATATTTTCAGTTCTCATTTAAAAGATAAATTTGAAAGAAATAGAAAATCCAAATTTAGTTTTCCCACACTCTGTCATTTGGTATGCAGGGATTATTAAGATGGTGGTGGCTGGGGATGGTGAAAGATCATTGTTAATTTACAACTATTTGTCAAAGGTGAAGTGAATATGGTTGAATTATCCCTGAGACAAAGTCCAGGGTACTATTCAACAATATTCACCGAGCCTGAGGCAAATAATACTTTAAGTATATTTGCTCAGGTGCTTTTGAATTCTGTTATTTGTAAATTTATTTTGTTGTTAAAACCATTCTGTTACAATACAGTGCAGGTCAGAGGTACTTGGCCAACACACATGCAAAACTGTCTTCACTCTAAAAATGACTTGACTCCAAATGTTTTAGGACTGAACCACGCAATGCCACCAACATCTGAATCCCTCCTCTGTTGTAAATCTAGCACACCATTCAAATCAATGAATTTCAATATATGAAAATCATGTGTGCTGCAGTTTCATGAAATGCATGAAAGTGATTCTTGCAGTAATAAATCCTACTTATTTAGTAGTTGGAAAATAAGGACAAAAAAAAAATTCAGGCCCGTTTGGGATTTGAACCCATGACCTATGCAATACCGGTGCAGTGCTCTACCATCTGAGCTAACAAGCCAACTGGGAGCTGGCTATTTTGTATTATGCCCGTATTTTTGGACTACTCACTGGACTACTCACTGGACTATGCACTGACCTCTGGACTACTCACGCCTCACACCTGTGAGGCGTGAGTAGTCCAGTGGTTAGTGTGCTGGACTCTGGGTCAGATGGCCCGAGTTTAAGTCTTGGCTGGGGCTTGACGTTGCGTCCTTAAGCAAGACGCTTCACTCACATTGCTTCGTCTTCTCGAATAGGACGTAAAGCTGGAGGTCCCGTCTCCTGCATCTATTATTTAATCACTTTCACCAGAGTGTGGTGCGGGTCGCACAACAGAGCGAGGCTCCAAATTAAGTGCGCCCAATATCCCACCCATCCCACCCCAGGGGAGGACATCCATCACACAGTAATCTCGTGTGTGGGAAATTAACGTCTCCTACCCCAACCCTGCAGGAGACGGGACCTCCATTTATTCGTCCCTATCCGAGAAGACTAGAATATCTAACCATTTCTTGATGTTATAGAAAGG